GAAAAATAATACAAGGGGGAGAAATGAATTACAGTAGAGGGGGTAGAGAGAGAAGAGGGGAGGGGAGGGGAGGGGGGATAGTAGAGGATAGGAAAGGCAGCAGAATACAACAGACACTAGAATGGCAATGTGTAAATCAATGGAAGTGTAACTGATGTGATTCTGCAATCTGTATACGGGGTAAAAATGGGAGTTTATAACCCACTTGAATCAAAGTATGAAATATGATATGTCAAGAACTATGTGATGTTTTGAACAACCAACAATAAAAAAAAATAAAAAATAATAAAAAAGACAATAAAAAATAAAATAAATAATGTGTATTTACATTATGTGTAGAAATGACTTGACTTTAATATGATAACCAGTCCAGTAAAATGTCTGGAGTTTTTAACAGTATGTATATGTAGAATAGTTCTAGCTAACTATTAAAAGAAATCACCAGATTTCCTATTAATAGTTAGCTAGAACTATGCTACATATATAATATGCGTAGTTTTCATTGGGCACAATGGCATAGGTCTGTAATCCCAACAGTTTGGGAGACCGAGGCAAGAGGATTATGAGCTCAAGGCCAACCTCAGAATTTAGTGAAACCCTGTCTCAAAATAGGGCTGGAGGTGTGGCATAGTGGTAGAGCACCCTAGGTTCAATTCTCAGCGCCACACAGACACATACATAGTCTTCATAGTCTTCAGGAAAAGATTTTGTGCATTTATGTTTATGTATTACTAGAGAGCAAACTGTGGGTACTCTATCACTGACCTCCATTCTCAGCCACTTTTTCTTAAATTTTATTTTGAGAAAGGGTCTCACTAGATGCCCTTGAACTTGGGRATCCTCTTGCGTCTGCCTCCCAAGTCCCTTGTGCCACCAAACCCAGCTTAGAAAACAGAATTTTTGTTTTCAGTTGTTTTAATAGAATAATTTGACAGTACATATTTTGGGTTTCAGGAATTGTCATCTAGCTCTCCTTTTTTGCTTCTCAATTTATCATTTTTCTTCTGTGATCTTTTTGGACACAGGTGTTACCTCTGTGATAATGAAGTCCAGTATAGTAGTTCAAACCGATTGGGCCAAGTGGTTGATTATGTTAGAAAACAAGCTGGTACTATAATTCCCAAACCAGGTAAAATAATTTGTTTCTTAATAGATACTATAATGTTGATTTATATATCTGCTGATATTTAGACTTATTTATTGTGCTACCTGATGTTACATGTAGCTGCATAATGGTTAGTTGTGACTGACTTTAAAACTCTGAAACTATTTTTGATATAGAATGTAAAATGTTGAAAAATTATGCCATTATGAGGTATTAGAATGAGAAGCATTATAGTGTTGTGAGAAATGAGTAGTTATATGTGATGACAGTCTGGATGGAGACTTTGACTGTGGGGTTACTATTGATCTGTTTTATATAGTATTTAGGTGGTATACTTTTAACAAAGTTATAGTGAATCGTGAAATAAAATAAAGACTTGTAACTCCTTCTAATGGTCAGATACTTCTCGGTTTCTTCATGATAATTAAATTAATTGGTTTGATATACAGCATTTACTTTAGGCTTATGTTTTTGATAATTGTGGTCCAATTTTTTTTTTGTCAGATCTAGACAAGGATAGAGAATTGTTTTTGAGAATTGATTTTTGGCTCCTGGAATTGTTTGATTTTAAGCATTATCTAATAAATGTAGGTAAATATCCTAAAAAGAAGAATGCATAAACAAATTTCAGAAGAGATATAAGCATTTGGTTGACAAATGAAACCAAACAATATACATTTTCATATAAACTTTCCCTTTTTTATTACATAAGAATTCTCTACAAGTGAACATTTCTTTTACCTGTGAAATTACAATAAAAAACAAACAAGTAAAGAATGTGGACATAAAATAAAATTTTAAAATTGGTGACAATGGCATTAGGTAAAAGTCACGAATTCTAATGCTCTGTTTCAAGTATAACTTTGAATGTGATATGGATATTTCATATTTTGCCTTTTTTGCTGCTTTTTTTTTTTTTTAAGCAGACAGGGATAATGGAAACATTGAACTTGAAAACAAAAAATTAGAAAAAGAGAGTAAAAATGAACAAGAAAGAGAAAAGAAGGAAAACATGACTAAAGAAAATCCACCCATGAATTCTTCCCAAATAACCGTGAAAGGACTCAGTAATTTGGGAAATACATGTTTCTTCAATGCAGTTATGCAGGTGACAGTGTCATACCCCTCCACCCCACCCTTTTGAAATATAGGGTTTGTTACTTATAGTATCAAGTTTTTCCCCATGAAATTTATTTCTATGCATTCAACATAACTCAAGTAATTGTTTATTGCATGTGAATAAACCATAGTAGTGAATGGGAGTGATGGGATTTTAAAGCAATCATGGCTCCTGCCTATTGGAGCTTGCATTTGGTCAGGAAAGCCCAGGATAATTTCCACAAAAACAAAAATGTAATTAAAAGTGGTGGTGAAAAAATTGTGATGGTAGTGTAGGATAGGTACTTCTAACCAGGTGATGAAGGAGAATGTCCCTCTGAAGTGATGAAGAAGCTCAGAATTGGGTTTTAGCCAGAGTCGGGGAAAGAACAGGTCATGACTTTTCATTTCAGTTTTGGTTTTGATTTCATGTTTTGGTAGAATGCACACTTAAGAAATTTTGAATGAATTAATTTGCCTTTATGTAATTTCCCTTTTCCATCCTTCATTCTAGAATTTGTCACAAACACCAGTGCTTAGAGAGTTACTGAAAGAAGTGAAAATGTCTGGAACAATTGTAAAAATTGAACCACCTGATTTGGCACTAACAGTATGTACTTTAAAAAAACTTTTATAAATTTCCTCTGTGAATATCTATGTTCTGAACTGTTTTCAAAGAAAACAATTTTCTACATTACTTCTTTGTTTTTGCTTTTTTAAAATTTTGTACTTTTTGTTTTTTTTCCATGGTACTGGGAATTGACCCTAGGGCCTTGCACATGCTGCCACTGAGCAACATCCCCAGCCCTTTTGTTTTTATTTTATACTACTAAATTAAACATGAACAGGCTAATGGAATTTATGAGGAGCCTTTACATTTGTTTGCTTTGTGAGCTAGTGCTCTGCTTCACTTTTGGCAATGTTGATATTTGTGAAACTCTAGGCCTGCATTTTTGTTCTTAATGTCTTTTTTTATCCCTACCCCCCCTCTTGGTACTAGGATTCAAACTCAGAGCCTCACACATGCTAGACAAATTTTTTTCCACTGAACTATACTTCCAGCCCTTCGTTTTAACATCTTTTAAAGTGACTTATAGCCAAATGAATTCATTTTTATTATTTACATTTTGCTTTAAGTTTTTCAGTTCTTTGGTAGTAACTTCCTGATAGTCTAAAACTAAAATAGAGCTGACTTCTTTATAAGATAGTCTTTTACCATAGAGTTTCTTTTATCTTTGTGTGTGTGTGTGTGTGTGTGTGTGTGTGTGTGTGTTAGTGGGGATTGAACCTAGGAGCACTCTACCATTGAGTGAAATCCCCAGCCCTTTTATTTTTCATTTTGAGTCAGGGTCTCCTTAAGTCACCTAGGTTGGCCTCAAACTTGCAGTCTTTCTGCCTTAGTTTTCTGAGTCTCTCGAATTACAGGCATGCACCACTGTACCTGTCATGTTTCTATATCTTTTTATATAATTTTCAAACTTAAATAGAGCAACTCTATCAGGAACATTGGTAATATATGTTAACTAGTTACATTTGGGTAGAGTAAGTGATTCTAAAATTTGACTGAAAAATGTAATTTTTATTTCCATATTCAGGAACCCTTAGAAGTAAACCTTGAGCCTCCAGGTCCTCTTACTTTAGCCATGAGCCAGTTTCTTAATGAGATGCAAGAGACCAAAAAGGGAATTGTGACACCTAAAGAACTCTTTGCTCAGGTCTGTAAAAAGTGAGTATCCACTTGATTGTGCCTTTAATGCATCAGTAAAATGCTGAGAAATAATTTTAAAAGTTAATGGTGTTAGAGTCAACCCAGTAAATATATATACTAATTATAATTTATTTCATTTGTATTTAAAGAATTGAACTTTATGTGATAATTACATCTGCCAAGGGCATTATTAGACTAAACAGGAATTTTGAGAAAACTGGGACACCCTAATATTAAGATAGGATCCTAAGGTCTCTTAAAAATAGCTTCATGTTTTAATTGACTCATTGTTGCTTTTCTTTTTCTTTTTTCCTTTTCTGTAGAGCAGTGCGGTTTAAAGGCTACCAGCAGCAAGACAGCCAGGAGCTACTTCGCTATTTACTGGATGGGATGAGAGCAGAAGAACACCAAGTTAGCATATTATTACCACCATATTTTATAATCCCATCTCATGAGCTTGTCTGCTATTTGTTATTTAAATGTTATTAAGCAGTGGAAGCTAGTCATTGAAGCTATTGTACTTTTAAATTTTTTTTTTCTGTACTGGCTTTTTTCAACTAATGTTTTCTTCATTAGAATAGATCAAGAGAATTAGAAATGATTCTCCTTTTCATAATGCTTTAGTTTACCTGATTTGGTTTACAGCAACATTGTTCTTTAAGGGTCCTATTTTACTAGCTCTACCAACTGATATTTTTCCCAACCAGTTCCCAGTTGCAGCATACCTTTCTTCTTTTTCCGAGTGTGATTAAGAGCAGTTTTTTGAATGTAAGAAGCATTTTCATTTTATAAAACTTAAGGAACATTTGTTGCATTTAGAAAAATTTGTCTGTTGCCAGGATGTAAAATAATGTATTTGGTGATGTGAATATAATTAATATAATATCACAATGGTGATAGTAACCATAATAGCAACTAATACTAGAGCTACACTTAGTGGAGCACTGTTGTCTGTAGTTCTCACAACCAGTCGGTGGGGTAGGTCCTCTTACTATTTTCTCATTCTATAAAACTGAATCTAGTGTATAGAGAAGTTTGGTACTTAGTTCAAGGTCTCAGCCTGTAAAGGCAGAGCTGAACATCTAGTTCTGGAGTCAGTTCCTATAGCTCTCATGCAAACACTCTTTTTCGAGGATAAGACATTTCAATGTGTTTCCTAAGGAAGTGGGCATGCTTTGAAAAGCTTTGGTTTACATAGACTTAAGATCTTGAAATGATAAGATAGTACCTTTTTTCAGGTTATTGATTGTGTTAGAGTTATAATTCTTTTTAGCTCCTTGAATTAATTTTGAAAATGTGATTTTGGAAGAATTAATTTTTATTTCAGTAAATCTGGAGAGCTACGTCTTGATCCTTTCTTGATTACATATTTTCTAAGGAAATTAACTTTAAAATTTAATAGTATATATATATCCATTTTATTACTTTTAGAGAGTGAGTAAAGGAATTCTTAAAGCATTTGGTAATTCTACTGAAAAATTGGATGAAGAACTAAAAAATAAAGTTAAAGGTAATGTCTAATTTTTTGAACTAAAACACTATAGTTGAATTCCTCTGTACCTTAGGACAAGATTGCCGGCACTTGTATTTCAAATCCTCAATTATTAACGTATAATTTCTCTACATCACTGTTGATTTTTAAAAATTATTTAGTACTCCATAGGTGAATATTTAAAAAAATTAACTTCTGGTTTATTCTTTATGCATTATTATACTGAAATTTATAAAGATTGAACTAAGATGATATCACAGTCTTGTTTTTAAAAAACTTAGAACTATAATTAATAGTAAATAATGAATCACATTAATATGAGTTGTCAGTAGCTGGTTATTAATCATAGAGCCAACTTCGATTTTACTGTTGGGTGACATATAAAGATTTAGGACAGATATGTCCAGTAGATCTTATTGTGGTGRTGGAACTCTTCCACATGCTGTCCTGTGTAGATGCTACTAGCCACGTGTGGCTCTGGAGCTCTTGAAATCTGAATGGTGAAACTGAAGAACTGAATTGATATTTAGTTTTAATTAAATTTAAATGGCCATAAGTGACTAAGAGGTACTGTATTATAAAGTTGTGGTTCCAATCAACTGTTGATAATTCTACCTTTTTGGTACCCTAGAGAGCCTGGCCAGTAGTAGAGAATTGTGGCTCCTGTGTCCATTTATTATAAAAGTATGTTTTTATATCAGTGGACACTTATCATTTGAATAATACATATAAATTTTATATATTTGGAAAATTGAGTGATTAGGTAATAAAATTATGTCACCTTACATTAAGAGTATCAAGATTCTTTCTGGGAACTTCGAAAAATCAAAAGGAAGATTTCATCTGAAATATTTTCCTGAGTTTTTTTATTTTTAATTATAAAAGTAGTTCAGTTTTAGAGTTTACAAAGTAAATTACATGCATTTTGTCTCCAAGTTTGGTACCAATGCCTTTATTAGAAAATCAGTGAATGTTAGAGCTAGACATTCATCCTCGTCTGATCTGCTTATTTTACTATTGGAGGTATTAGTATATAGAAAGTCTCACGACTTGCACTATTTGGTTCACACTGACTAAGAGATCATCCATAAGAACATTTCTTTTCTTAATTCATAAAAGGTGATTGTGTTCAGTTGTGTTATGTCTAGAGGCAGAGTATATGTAGCTGCTGACTTCTATAGTATAAAGATAAATAATGCTAATTATGAATGGAGGAAAAATTATTGGATAAGAAATGAAAAATTTTAGAGTTAGGTAAGTAAATAGTTTTATCTTTTCTTATTCAAGTAATTACATAAAGTAATTACAAACTTTTTCCCTACAGATTATGAAAAGAAAAAATCAATACCAAGTTTTGTGGACCGTATCTTTGGTGGTGAACTGACTAGTACAATCATGTGTGATGAGTGTAGCACTGTAAGTGGATATAGTGTGGGCTGCATGTATTCATTAATGTTTCCTGAAAACAGTTTATTGTTCCCTTCAAAAAAGGAAATATCTAACTTCATAGAATATTCTTTGTTGAACTATCCAAATGTGTATGGTTTTTTTGCTGGAAAATTTTAGCACTTCTAAAATTTGAAGTTGCTTTAATCTTTCAATTTATTTCCCCTAATCTGAAGTCCTCAAAATTGTGTATTTTTTTCATTTCAAATTTTCATAACCCGTTATTAAAACCTACTTCCTCTTCACCCAAATGGGGAGGATCTTGATATGTAATGTTTAATGTGAATTTCTTCCTTCCTTTTACATTTTCTTTTTTGTTTGGTTAAGGTTTCTTTGGTTCATGAATCTTTCCTTGATTTGTCTCTCCCAGTTTTAGATGATCAGGTAAGACTATAAAATTTATTTTGTTGAAGTAGATTTTTTTTGTTTCTGTTAGATTTTTTATGGGGAAAAAAACCTCGTCACCTTTTTCAAATTTATTATTACTAGTCCATGAAGAAGTTTTTCGTAAATTTACTTTCGATAGAATAGATTTTTGGATTTGAATCAAAAATGGGATATATTTTTCTTTTAAGAAAGAAAGGGTGATATGTATATAATTCTTCATAGGTAATTAACTTGATTGCCTTACCCATAGGGAAGTATTTTCCTCCCATTAAAATTATTATTTATTATTTAAGGCTAACCACAGATCCATTGCAGTCTTATGTACATAAATATTAAATAGATATTATTATCTCAATTGTAAGCCTTATTGGTTTGGCTTACCTTTAAGTGGTTGTAGGGAAAAGGAGACATTTCATGAATGTGGGATAAATCGTTCAACTTCCTGTGAAGTAGGGATCCCTTGCCTCATTACTTAGTGGTTAAAGTCATACCACACTTACTTTATTCTCTTTTTCTGTAAAACTATCATTTACATACAAGGAAAGAAAAGAATTAAAAGAAGTACCTGCAGTCTGATACATAAATCATTTATGAACAGAAAAGACATTTAGAAATGGACTCATTTACAATGTGATACAGCATGTAGTTAGTAACATCCATTGCATTCCTTTCTATTACACTTAGATGTGAAGTTCCTTTTTTGCTGTTTTATTTGCTTTCTTTCTCAGTATGTGAAGATTGCTTTCTAGTAAGTGAGATGAATGCATTTTGTCCTAGGCATGTTTTCAAATATTTTGGAAGTAAAACTAGTATAAAATAGAAGTAAAAAAATTTGGGGTAATATGAATTTTCTTTCAACCACCAGGTGGATGTAAAGTTTTGGTATTAACCAATATTTTCTCCATATTTTAAGAGTGGTAAGAAAAGTATAAATGATAAAAATCTGAAAAAGACAATGGAGGATGAAGATAAAGATAGCGAGGGAGAAAAAGATAATGACAGTTACATAAAAGAGAGACATGATATTCCTTCAGGAACAAGTAAGCACTTACAGAAAAAAGCAAAGAAGCAAGCGAAAAAGCAAGCCAAGGTGTGTAACTGGAAAAATCATGCTTTTATTTTACATTCTGAACTATTGAGTTGTCTGAATTTGACAATTATAGAATTAGCTCATTTAGTATTATCTGCAGGGAAATTGCTTTGAGTGTATGTAAAGAAAAGTTGCATTTCTTTTTTTAATCTGGCATCATGTGTGATAACTGTTTTTAATAAACAGTTCATTTTTAACTTGGTTTTTTGAGTTGTTAACACTTGACATTTACAAATTTAAAAATATATAAAGATATACAGTAACTTAAGTCATCTACTATCATTTTATGACATAGATAACTACTGTCTTTAGTTTTCTATGTATTCTTCTGGAATTTGTTTTGGAAAATTTAAGGAAATACAAATATGTTAGAAACTTTACTTTTTTTTTTTTTTTTTTTTTTTTTTTTTTTACTAAAAACACTGTTCTGGTCCTGTTTTTTGTTTGCTTATATACCTACTTAGATTTTTGGATGCCATTTCATTTCAGGATAGAAAGTGTCTTCATTTTTTTTCCCTGCTGCATTATAGTTGTTTCATGGATGTACTATAATTCATTAGCTGTTTCTCTGTTGATTTTGGTTGTTTTTAGTATTTGCAATTTTGGTCATTGCTGTAGTGAATAATCCTGTATTTATATCACCTGTAGGGTAAATTTTGAGAAGAAGGATTACATTTGTAGTTTCAATAGATATTTTCTAGTTGTCTTCCACAAAGGTCTCAATTTATATTCACACCACCACTTGTTTCTTCTGATCTTGATAGCAGGGTGATACAATCTTTTCTTCTAGTCTAGTAGGTGGAAAATACTATCTCAATGCAATTTTGTTTTGCATTTGTTTTAGTATAAATGAGGTTAAACATATTTTCATGTTTCAGAGCCATTTTATTTATCTTTTCTTTTTTTGAATTATTCTTCCATTTTTCATTTGTTTGTTCTTTTCATTTGTTTGTTCCTCTGTTTTTACTGACACGTTAGAGTGTTTGGTGTCATCTTGTGTTGTTCTTCATCTTTTTGGTATTATAGATTAACCTCACAGAGACTATCCTTTGAATTACAGCCAAAAATGCCAACACCTTTGGGTCTTTAGGTACTCAGAAAACAGGAATTTTGATAAAATAGCTTTGTTTTTCTCAAGAGGAAATAGGCTACAGAGGCAAAAAAAAAAAAAAGAGCGAAAAGAATGATTTTTAAGGGGAAAATCCTTAATTGTCCTCTGTACATGTGTCCAGGTGACCTCTGTGCTTTTTCATTAACTTTGTCATCCATCCTTCTGTCCAGAGCAGTCCTGTACTTACGCGTCTTTTCTTTTTTTTGTAAAGAGAGAGAGAGAGAGAGAGAATTTTTTAATATTTATCTTTTAGTTTTCGGTGGACACAACATCTTTATTTTATTTTTATGTGGTGCTGAGGATCAAACCCAGCGCCCCGCGCATGCCAGGCGAGCGCACTACCGCTTGAGCCACATCCCCAGCCCAGTTTATTCTTTATCTTAGTGAAACTTTGACCAAATAATCATAATCATAAGTTATATGGATACATCTTTTTGTTGAGAATACAGTAAAATCTACCACATTGTGTAATGCTTGGCTGCTTGAGTTTAATAGTTGTAGTACTCTGTCTAGATCACTTCTCTTAAAAAAAGGGTTTATGCCTTGCATATTTCTATTTCCCCAGTGCAACAATTTTTTGATTGTTTCTGATTTCATATTAAGACTTTTTCTTCATAATTTATTTGAACCCTGATAGCCAAGGAACTTTTATAATGAGATTCTGATAGTGAACTCCTCCTTATGAAATTATTTTTGATCAGTAAATAGCAAAATTTGATGTGGTACATGTGCTCTATTCCTGTGTCTCCATTTCTTTGTCCCCTTCCACCCCACCCCCGCCTTTGTAATGTTTTATATTCCTTTTACACAGAACCAACGAAGGCAACAAAAAATTCAAGGAAAAGTTCTTCATTTAAATGATATCTGTACCATTGACCATCCTGAAGACAATGAATGTGAGGCTRAAATGTCACTTCAGGAAGAAGTAGAAATTAAATCCAACTATATTTCACAAGAGGAAGTTACACATAAAGAATTTTGTGTTAATCAAAAAGATTTGAATGGACAAGAAAAAATGATAGAAAATATAACTGACAATCAAAAGTCCATAGAGGAAATAGATATTAAAAATATCGATATGGATAATGATCTGGAGGAATTGGCATCATCTCCCTCTGAATGTACTAGGAATTTAAATGGTACCTTTCTGAAAGAAGGGAGTAATGGAGAGATGGACATTTCCAGTGGTTTCAAAAACCTTAACTTAAATGCTGTTCTTCAACCTGATGAAATAGATATAGAGATTCTGAATGACAGTCATACTTCTGGGACAAAAGTATATGAGGTTGTAAATGAAGATCCAGAAACTGCTTTCTGTACTCTTGCAAATAGAGACACTTTGAACACTGATGAGTGTTCAGTTCAACATTGTTTATATCAGTTCACCCGTAATGAGAAACTTCGAGATGCAAATAAACTGCTTTGTGAAGTCTGCACACGGAGGCAATATAATGGACCAAAGGCAAATACAAAAGGTATTTAGATTTTCTTACTGTAAATAAAATTAATATGAAGGGGTACATTTTGCACTGTAGAGATGGAGTAGTCTTCTGTTGTGATCTTATCAGGATTTGGATAGCATGAATAAGTGCCTTCTTGAAGGTAAATGTTTCAATGGAAGAATGAAAGAAGAATTTTATTGAGGTGACTAGTATTCTGTGATATCACAGCAGCAATAGGTTAAGTGGGACAGTGTACTGTCCATCACCTTTCTCAGAGGTAGATTATTCCACTGGAATGCAATCACCACAGCTTCCTGACAGATAGTGTTTCCTTGCATTCATAGCTCCCTGTCGGCATTTGTGATGATCTTTGTTTCCCTTGCATCCAGGAAGTCATGCTTGAACTTTTTAGCGTACTTATGTGATGTGTCTATTGCAAAGGACTAGAGTGACCATCCTTTTGTACAGTTTCCATCAAATAAGAAACAGACATTGACAGTTCCTCTTCTTTTCCTCCCTTTCCCTTTTTTATTTTTTTAAGTTAGGTAAGTGAGAGAGGAAAGGGCTACAAATTCCTGAGGACTTTTACTAAAAGTGGTTGAAGTATTTTAAAATCCTATTTTTTAATTTATTGACATGTAGATATAAAAAGGAAACATATTGCTTTTGTGGGAAATTTTTTTTCCATATAGAATTTTTTGATTTAGAGAAGGCAGTGGCAAACTAAGGTCCATAGGCTAAATTTGAGCATCTACCTGTGTTTTTGTGGTATCTGAGCTAAAACATAGTTTTTTTTTTTTTTTTTTGGCTCTTTTTTTTTGTGGAGGGAAATGCATGAGGCACTTCTAGTCAACCAATTTGATGATGTTCCACTTAAAAATAAATTTGTGAGAGCAAGCATTTGCTGGGATTGAACCCAGGGTCTCATGTATGCTACGCAGGCCCCCCACCATTAAGCTATACCTGTAGCCCTCAAAAATGTTTTTTATAAGCGAATATTTGTAAATTTTGTGATGAAAGGAAACAGCCACTTCAAACCCTAACAAACCAAAATGTTATGTGTCATCTAAAGTAATTTTGTTCTTCTCTTTAGTAGAGTGCACTCAAGACTTAATTTATTAAATTTTTATTTCATCCATAAAAATTTATGGGAAATTTGTTTTCTATATAAAATATCTAGAAAACATCCTTGGATATTTGCCCCTTGATCCAAAAGCCTAAAATATTTAATATCTTTTCCTTTACAGTTTGCTGATCCTTGCTTTAGATATCTGATTTTATAGCAAACTGAATACTTCAGAAGTCAAAAATAATCTTTCATTTGCTAAAATTTGTCCTTTTCTCTAGGTGAAAGAAAACATGTTTATACCAATGCCAAAAAGCAGATGCTAATTTCTCTTGCTCCTCCTGTTCTCACTCTTCATTTAAAGAGATTTCAGCAGGTACCATTTGTTATCCCAGATTTGTTTTAAGTATATAATATTTACTGTTATTGTTTTAATATATTAATATGTTTCTTTGGTTTTCTTTAATTCTGTCTTCAAAGAAATAAGTATATATGTGTGTGTGTATGTGTGTGTGTGTATATATATATAYACACACACACACATATATATATATATATATGGGCAAGTGCTTGTCAGAGAGGAAGAGACGGCATTTAGGTATAGTTCTTCCTCACTTTTCTTAGAACTCATGCTGCTCTTTTTATAGTACCTTATTTTAACCTTAATTCCAGACTTAAAAAGGTAATGTAATACTTAAATCTCATACTCAGGAATATTATAGTTATTTTTCTGTTTTGTGTATTACATTTTATTTTTACTGATCCTTGATAAAAAGATATTGATACTTTGGACTTGCATCATTTTGGTGACCCAGTCTTTTCTTGCAATAGCAGTGTGACTTTCAAATTCTGTTCTAAACTTCTAATCTGATTTTTCTGGGTGACTGAGGCAGAAACATTCAACCTGGAAGTTGTGATGATCCTGCCACAGCTTCCCTGGTTGCTAAGATTTCAGGCTTGCAGCCATTATGCCTGGCCCAGCTTTCTTAATGTTCTGGTGTGTGTGTGTGTGTGTGTGTGTGTGTGTGTGTGTGTGTGTGTGAATGAAAGAGAGAGATACGTGCACTTAGCCAAAAAAAATCAACTTGGGATCAAAAACAAATCTCCAAGACTGAACCAGGACTATATGCTCATGTTTGGATATTGGAGGCGGGTACTACTTAACATGCACACCTTTCTAGGGTAAGAAATTGAATTTGTTTGTCCTTCTCTTTTAGGCTGGTTTTAACCTACGCAAAGTTAACAAACACATAAAGTTTCCGGAAATCTTAGATTTGGCTCCTTTTTGTACCCTTAAATGTAAGGTAGGTGAGAGTGGTCTTATTTTAAAGCAAATTCTTTAAAGAGAAATCAGATAAATATGGTTGAATGTTCAGATTATTATACATAGAACACATGTGAACTTAATCCAACATGTTAGTGATTCTCGGAAAGCCCTGCAAAGTAGACGATGCATCAACTAATATTTAAAGTAAAAGTTAGTAAGATGAGTCAAAATGACATGAGTGCTTCAGGCACAAAGAACAACAGGAACAAAGGCATAACAGTGTAGTATAGGGTGTAGGGACTGGCAAAGTTAGCAGTTCTAGACTAGCTTATAGAAAGTACAGGGAAGTAGGGAAATGAAGCCTGAGAGGTGAGATAGCAATGAAGAGTTTCATGATGAGGAACTTCTTAGTAATGCAAGGAGACTCTGAGGAGTTTAAAGCAATGGGGTGACGAGGTTTTATATATATACATAAAACATAGGTTATGTGCTGACATATGAAGACTGGGTTTTAGGAGAGAAATTCTAGAGGTAGTAAGTTGGATTATTCAGTAAGTAATGAGGCTTATAAAGTAGGGCAGGGGAAAGGGAAGGTGAATATTTCAGGATACAGCAACATTAACCACTGAGAATTGCTTGGTGCTGCAAGGTGAGACAGAGGCCTTTACCTGGATGCTAGTGTGGCACAGAAGCAGTTGAGGGTGACTACTGTAGCCTGTATGAATAGGCAGACAGAATGCTATAAATTGAGTTAGGAAATACAAGAACAGGTTAGAAAGTGGAGAAAGGACAATGAGTTCAGTTTTGGATACAGTGAGTATCAGATATCTTTGAAATATTCATGAGGTTAATGTCTAGGAAACATGTCTGAAGCCCAAGGGCAGAGAGTTTAGGGCTGGAGATACAGGTTTGGAAATCATGTAGGCAGTGATTAGAAGTGAGATGGATTCTCTGATATGTGGATGCTAATTCACAGTAAAGAAAGGGGGAATAGAGAAACTTTGGATTAAACAGTGGGACTGAAGGGAAGGGAGAGAGTATAGGGGTAGGAATGATAGTAGAATGAAATGGACACTATTACCCTATGTGTGTGTATGATTACACCACCTGTGTAACTCTACATCATGGACAACCAGAATAAGAAGTTATACTCCATTTATGTATGATGTGTCAAAATGCATTCTATTGTCATGTGTAACTAATTAGAACAAATTTAAAACATAAAAAAAAAAAAAAAGTAGTGAGATGGGATCACTTGTGTACTATATAGAGCCTGAAGAAAAAGATCAGGTAGCCAAGGGCAGAGGTTTTGAACATCTGAGTGAACAGGGCAAAGGTAGGAGAGGATACTTTCTGTGTGAATTTTAAAATGATGAGAATTTACTTTCCTCCCTCCCAATTAAAATTCTTTAAGGTGTGATTTCAGAGTGGGTGAGTAAATTATAATTATTATTATCACCACAAGGCTAGGTTACTTTAGCTGGTAAGTGGAAATACCTCTCATTACTTTTGAATACAAGGTCACCAGGAATCCATCTTTTGCCTAAAATACCATTGCCATGTGCTCAAGTTTCAAGGAAAGACTAAGTGTGAACTGAGTGTCAAGAATATCATAGAAAGGGACTAAAAACTAACAACTAGACAGCATAGAGGTCATGCTATGAATTTTTAAGAATAGCATTGGAACTTCAGTGGGTTATGGAGATCAAGTATGTATATATTATTAGAAGCTTTATTGAAAAGGAAAAGAGGTGGACCATTGAAGATTATTTCCAAAAATTTCTAAGACTTAAGTAGGTTTGTAAGCCTAGAGGAAAATCTAGAAGTTGAAGATATCAGAGGAAGCTAGGAGGGCTGAGGGTTGGAGTTTGGTCTTTGAACATAAGGGAGAGGATTGTTTCTTGAGAATGGACAACTTGGAGTTGGGTAGGCTGTGTCCCAGTTTTTCTGAAGTGGGAGGTGAGGTTAGTAAGAGAATAAAAGATTGGAGATAAGGAAGTGGTGAATAGTTGGGACCATAGCTGTGGAGGGCATCCATGGAAGAATCAGGTAGCTCACATATGGTCTGAGTTCTCACACTTCAAATGTGCATAGGTAATCACCTGGGAATCCGACCTACAAAGTGATTTTGTATGGCTGGAGTGGAGAAATACCATCTCCAGATGGTATTTCTAATAAATTCTCAGGTGGTGCCCGCTTTTGCTGTTTCACACACATCCTGAACAGCAAAGTGTGTACTGCAAATGGTGATGAGGACAATGATGACAAAAGAAGTCTCACAGGCCAGAATAAAAGGAGGAYTAGATGATTTGTTAAATAGTAAGAATACCTGAGGTGAAAGTTGAATAGAATTATGGACTGAAACTAGATTAGTAAGATTCTGAAGTTCAACAGTTCTGAGTGATGACCAAAGCCCAGAATCTAGTTCTGACCATGATAAGTAGCTAAAATGGAATGGTAATGAAAATTCTGTGAGGGTTCCAGTGAGCACTGAAGTATCTGGAAAGCTGACAGGATTTAGAATGAAGTAAAAAGTTCTTTGGTGAATATGGAGGCATAAAGATGAATGTAGTGATTGTGATACTCTAAGGATTTTTGAGAGTAACCTGTAATTGGTCCTTGTCTTGAAGAATGCTTGTCCTTATTGTTAGCCCTATAGAGTATGTGTTCTTTAAAGAAAAAGGAAAGTGAGTACTTAAAAGTTTGTGCTTCTGTCCCTAGAGGGCATCTAAAAATGTGAGTTGGTTTTTGGTACACAGATGACATTGTTGTTTTGTTAAGGACTTGCAGCTCATGGCTTATGGTTTCTGCAGCAGGAAAACAGCAATGCCAACTTTCGGGGGGGGGTGGGAACCCACAACAACAAAGCAAACAAAAAAAAATCCCAGAAGTATCTGTAGGCTAAGAAGAAGTAAGGGAGAAAATTAAGTTCAGACTCATGAATAATTTCTACACTCTGAAAGGATGAATAGTGTAAACTTACCTTGCCAATGACATCTGTACAAATGGAACTAGAACTAACTTTTGGATTCTGTTCATTTTTAAAGAATGTTGCAGAAGAAAACACAAGAGTACTATATTCATTATATGGAGTTGTTGAACACAGTGGTACCATGAGGTCGGGGCATTACACTGCCTATGCCAAGGCAAGAACTGCAAATAGTCATCTCTCTAATCTCATTCTTCATGGAGATATTCCACAAGGTAAGTTGTCCTGGAAAATGTAGGCACTAAGCAGATTATGGCAAAATCAGAAAATAATCAATTTGAATTTTCCCATTTATATTTAATTTTATATTTTCTTCTTGACAGATTTTGAAATGGAATCAACCAAAGGGCAGTGGTTTCACATCAGCGACACACATGTGCAAGCTGTGCCTACAGCTAAAGTTCTAAACTCACAAGCATACCTCTTATTCTATGAGAGAATACTGTAACAACAAAAAAGTGCTTTCTTTGGAAATGCATTTGTGGCTTTTTTGTAATGGCTGTTATTAGTAACAATAAAAAATTAAAGACTATAAATCATGTTCACTTAATACTAAATACCTGACAGAAGAAATCATGTTTATTTAAGTATCAAAGGGAAAGCACTTAAAAATTCAGTGAATTTTTTTTTTTGTATTGTCATAGTGGTTTTTATTCTCGCTTCATTTCTGAAAAGTAAATTTGAATTATTTAATTCCTGTGCTTAATGTTTGGGTGGTGAATTATGACCCATCAATAAACTGACTTCCCCCAAAACTTGTTTTATTACTTTAGATTTTAAGTTACATTGACTGCACTAGATAACATTAAATATTTGCTGTTATCAAAGTATAACATAGGACAAACTTAGACTGTAGTTTGATACCAAATCCTCTTTTATGCCAGCATGTCAAGAGGAAGTCTGCAAATTGTCCTTCTAAAAAATTCCTTTTTTACCCAAGTTAGCCAATACTGGGTTAGTTACAACCAGGTTTAGAACATCAAGCCTATCAGAACTTCTTGTATAGTTCAACATTTTAGAATTTTATGAATTAGAAAACTTTGCATCATTCCTCTGATGAGTTTATATAAAAACCAGTCAACCAAACTGTTTCTAAAATACCTTTGAGCTGGGTGCAGTGGCTTAGGCCTGTAATTCCAGTAACTCGAAGCTGAGGCAGGAGGACCACAAATTCAAGGCTAGCCTCAGCAACTTAGGGAGACCCTGTCTCAAAATATAAAAATGGCTGGGGATGAGGCTAAGTGGTAAAGCGCCAATGGGTTCAATTCCCAGTACCAAAAAAAGCAAATCCTTTGAAATACCAAAAACAATATAATTCTGAACTATTATTCAAGGGAAGGGCCTATGTCACCAATACATGTAATAGCACATATCCTATAAAAATAAATCTTTTTGTACATGGTCTTTGTTTTTCAACTTTCCTTACTGATCTTAGAGGATCTGCTTTATGAAAATCCACTTGCTTACTATGGAAATCTAGTCCAGGAATTGGCAGACTTTTCCAATCAAGGGCCTGATACTTAAACTCTGATTTTTGGACTCATTTGGTCTGTCACAAGTACTCAACTCTGCCATTCCTTTGTGGAAAGTGGCATCTGACAACATGTGACTGCATAGGCGTGGCTGTACTGAAATTTAAAAAACCAGGCAACAGGCCATGCAAGGGCAGTTGGTCACTACACACATCAAGTGACTGAAGTCCCACAGCTAATGTGATGACTCCATTAAGTTGAGTAACAAATATAATGATAATGTTTGAAAATACTGTTTTATATTTCTTTTGAGAAAATAGGCAAATGATGAAAGGGTTTGAAAATATGTATTTCTCAGTTTATAAAAATACAAGAATACATAAGTTCTAGATCATGATCTCCAATCTATTTTAATGCACCTGTGTCAATCAATTTCATTGTAGAATTACTGGGATTTACAAGATTGAAAAAAATTCAGTAGCTGGTCACCAGACAGGCTTTTACAGTAAAACACATTTATTTTATCATTCAGCCAAGGATACAAACACAAAACACTTCTTAATTTAAGGAGAATAAGAAAACCATTAGGCAATTCCTAGTGAACTACTTCAAATACAACCTTCACCTATAGTAAAAATTAGGCTATTCAGTCATTTTGGTCATCATCCCAGTCTTTCTTTCCACTTGGAGGCTTGGGCCCACCAGCTGGTTTTGCCATGATGATCTGTAAAACACAAAAGTGCTTATAAATTCAAACTTCACAAATTAAGAATACTTTTCTATTGGCCTAATTATAAGATGGAGCAATCCTCTTAATATAAGCAATCAATTATATATATTGCATATGAAACGCCACAGCACAAAGTTTTCTAGCTTCCTTGTTAGAAATTACAGTGAACTTTCGGGAGTGAGAAAGCTTCCTGCTTGTGGGGTAAAAACAGCAAAAAAAAAAAAAAAAAAAGCCCACACAGATTAGTAAAGTACATTCCAAAACAAGCACTTTGATAACTTAAGCAAACGTGAAAGTTTTTGCATGCATCCCTGGAATAAACCAGTCAGTGTGGCACCTGATTTGTTATTTATATATGAGGTTCGTCTTGCCAACCGTCTTTATCCCAATTTCCTTGTGGTTTAGGTGCTTTAGGTCCACCTGCCAGTTTTGCCATTATAATCTGAAGTAGTTGATAGATAAAAGTTTAACAATAAAACTTTCTCCTACCAACGAGAACCAAATAGTAACAAGTGTTTGTTCAAGCACCAGTTCGCTGGTAACTAAAAAATAAGCCACAAGACTTTCTTCAGCTTATCTAAAAAAAATGTGCTAAAGCAACATTTTACCCAAGTACAGTATAACGATTTCATATCTAAAGATTTTATTAAAAAACAAAAATGGTGGCAGTGGCCTCAAATAAGTTTGGGGGAAGCTAATATAAACTATTAAGCTGAACTATTATGCATTGCTTTCCCAATTTATATGAAGAAATCATCCTGTACAACATCAAGGGGTTTGACTTCTATTTTAAGCAACATGAACATGAAACATCTTTACCACCACTCCAATAGATTTCACACCTGTTTTCAGAAGCCTCTATAAGAAGTCTAAACCTAAGGGAGCTGGGGATGTGGCTAAGTGTGGAGGGTGCTTGCCAACCAAGTGGCTCTTGGTTTGAACCCCAACAACATAAAAATAACAGTGGTTCCTAAAATTTTATTAGGCATCACCATTACACAGAGAACTTATTAAAGCTGCATGTTCGACCTCCTTCAGAGTTTCTGATTCAGTGGGTCTGGAGTAAGGTCTGAGAATTAGCAAGACCTTAGGCGATGTTGATGTTATCTATTTGGGTACTATACTTCCTTTGAGCATGAGTTGAAAGAGATATTTGAAAAAAGATCCAGCTCCTGTTACATCAACTACTGCTCATAATAAAGTCTCTTTCGAGAATATATATACTGCATAAAATCAAGCACGACTAACTTTTAAAGATGGTAATTATTCTAACCCCAGCTTGGCTAACGTAGTTGGATGGGTTCTTCATATATCTTTATGTGCAGAGTGCAAAAACCAAGGGCACATACCAATAACATCCCTACTATCAAAATTTAGGAAATTTCTTTGTGATAAAGTTTATAGTCTTACCTGGCATTCAGAGAAGTTCCTCAGTTAAGGAACTTCCACTATCAGGATTTCTTTTCACCACATATCTTAGTCTACTTAAGTTGCTCCTGTCCCCTTCTATTTTGGGTTCTCCTTTAACACATCATTTCTAGAATAAACAATTCCTTAGGCTTCTCTCATCTTGACTGAAAAACCATATTCTTTACTGAAAACTACCTGATAAGCAGATTCAGAATCCTCTTATTAACAAATCTGGCACAACAAAACAGTTTTTGCTTGGTACTGGGGACTGAGCCTAGGGCCTTCCCCATGTTAGGCAAGTGTTTTATTGCTGGGCTACATTCCTAGCCCTTCTACTTATTTCTAGTAAGGTGAAAGTGGATACCCAGTTCCATTTTTGCTCATTCTCCAGTTATGAAAGAGTCCTTATTAAAAAAAAWATATATATATATATATATTTTACTTTTGTTATATAATAATTATTAACTGGTCCATACTGTGCTTAGAAATAAGTCTAGTTGTCTATTAATTTTCACCTAGGATTTCTTCCAAGTTTAATTTCACATGATTTTCTTTACTTACTGTATATATTCTGTGTCCCTAACAAATACAACTTTCTATAAAGTATTTATAAATAGTTCATTGGTTAATAATTACTTTGAGAATTTTGTGGCAAATGGATTTAAGATTACTCAATATTTTCAGTATAATTTAAAACTACAGGAGAAGAAAAAATTTTAAAAATGGGGGATGGGATTTGAACATCTAAGGTGTGAGGGTAAGGAAACATTCCTTTGAAAACAAAGAACTATGCTATATTCTAGTTCTGTAAAAACATACCGTTGAACCATATTGAAACTACCATTTTTAGATACCAAAGTTTCACTTTTGCTCACCTGATCCACTCTAAGTACAGTAACCGCAGCATTAGTAGCCAATTTTATAGCCCAATATTTTCCCAGATATGTATCTAGAATACCAGCTTCCAACATGTCCTTTACAGCAGGAACTTCAGCCTGTCAAACACAAAACAGTTTCCATCCTTTCATTTTAAATTCTTTTCAGTGAAAGTGCTTACATTCAAAACCAAAAACCTGCATGCATGACTCCTAAGTACCAGACAAGTAACCATGTGTAAATACTACTCCATACACACAATAAGAGTATCAATAAAAGGAAAACTAAAAATTTATTCTATCAGATAAAATGAAAACTAATTTTTAAAAATTTTAAATTATAATTCTTAATACACCATTATACAATAATTTATCATATTTCTGATTATATATAAGGTATGTTGACACCAAATTCACATCCTCATACATGTATTTTGTATAATGATGAGGGTCTCCTTTCACCATCCATGCTATTTCCCTTCTCCTGAAAACTAACTTTTAAGAAAACAAATTGTTCATAAATCAGTTCACTATTTCTGATTTTCCCCTTATATGTACTGCTCCTATTTTTAGGTTGTGCATTCACAAAGCAATTTAAGTTCATGTTTTTTTATCAAATACCTCAATGTCTAGTCCAACATTTTTATTTCCTTCTTGGTGAACTGCATAAAGTTTAGAGATAACTTCATTGGCCTTAACTCCAGAGTTCTCTGCCAATGCCCGGGGAATAGCTTCAAATGCCTCGGCGAACTTCTTAATAGCATACTGCTCAAGTCCAGGACATGTCTAAAACAAAATGTGTTTATTATTGCTTTTTATTCAAGCAATGAGAAGAAAGTTACACAGTAAAAGCCATACCTCTCCATAGGATGTGATTTGTTTGGCTAATTCAATTTCTGTTGCTCCACCTCCAGGTACCAGACGTTTATCCTGTAAGTTGTTCAAAAAGCCAGACAAAACAGAAAAACAAAAACAAAACATTAAAAAGGTAGTTTCACTAATCTTTTCAGATTCTAATACTCCATCAGACTAAGTTTTCAACCAGTCATTGTTATTCAAAATCTACTTTTGAACTTGGTAAAAATGATCAGACAAATTTTCTTTCTGAAGTATCTAGTACATGAAAAAGGAAGACCAAAGTGAAGAATGGGGACAGTCCTGTCTTTTATCTGCATTCTAGGCACTGACAACAATGCTTTAGCAAATGAAGTTAGTACATTAAAACAAAAAAAAAAAAAACACGAACTATTTAACAGTAAAGAAATAGCCTTGCTTTGCTATTAAGTCCTTCATATGATCATTTTGAGAAACTATCGTATTCTTCAGCAATTGAAAGGTAAATCGTTGGTAAAAATCCACCTGTCTCAGCCTCCACAGTAGCTGAGATTATAGGCAAGTACCACCATGCCTGGCTAAACCACTCATTTTGAAGAAGCACCAACTACGTTTTTAAGACTAATTAGAGATTACTAAAGAAGCTTCTTGTTAATACTGACCCTTGTGAGAACTTTGAAAGTATTGACACCATCATCTACTGCCCTTTCTATATCATCCATCAGATTGTCTGTAGAACCTCGAAGTACTATGGTAGAAATGGCACCATCTTCTTTTTCTGTCAATAAACATATTCAGAGATTAAGTAAAAGAAAACAAACAA